CTCTGGGAGAAGGCGAGGGTGGGATGTTTCAAGAGAACAGCATCGAAACACGTATATTATCTAGGGTGAAACAGATCACCAGCCCAGGTTGGGTGCATGAGACAAGTGCTCGGGCCTGGTGCACTGGGAAGACCCAGAGGGATCGGGTGGAGAGGGAGGTGGGAGGGGGGACCGGGATGGGGAATACATGTAAATCCATGGCTAATTCATTTCAATGTATGACAAAAACCACTGCAATGATGTAAAGTAATTAGCCTCCAAAAAAAAAAAAAAAGACTTCACTTTCAAAAAAAAAAAAATTAAATTAAAAATTATAACCTGAAGAAAAAAAAAAATAAAGCTTTCACTCAGGCCACATCAAAAAAAAATAAAAATAAAAATAAAACACAGCTTTGAACATTGACAATTGTATGGTAAGGGTTAAGTACCTGTGATTCTCTTTCCTTCCCTATAGATCTGATCACGTTTTGTTCTGCAGTGATTAATATTTACATAACCACAATATGGTAAATGCTATTTTTATTGAGTATTCAGAATTTCAAGCCTAGAAGACTTGACTGTAGTTCCAGAACAGAATGTAAATGTTACAAACAATGAAAGTGTGAAAGAATGAAGATCATATGTATTGACATGAAGGAGCCCGTGACGTAAAGAAGCAAGTTGTAGGATAGTATGACTAGTATGACCCTATACACATATATGTAATGTTACTAGTATCTGTTACATGCATAGGAAAACACATGGAAAACTTTTATTCAAGTTTATTTTCTACGTTGCTGTGTCTTTTGAATTTTCACAACCATGTCTAACTGTGGTAACTAAAACATTTTAAACAGAATACTAATCTGAAGACTTACTTATTAGCCTACCGAAAGGACTCAGGCTTTTTGGTAAGGTCCTGAACAAAAAGACTGATTGAGTAGAAAGAACTACATTTTGTGGAACCCACAATCTAAAGCTGGACAGAAACCTCAGCTGTTCTAAATATTATAGAAACAAAACAAGAACAACAGAAGAAACACCCCAGACCCAAAACCGATCAAAGAGCAACACTGCCGTCTACTGACGACTTTTGGAGAATAAGTTGCCTTGAAAGGCGTGTTATAAATACAAAACAAAATCCTTGTGAGACCTGCATAGGCCTAAAATCTGGTTTACCTTCTCCAGGAGCATGAATTAGTAGCAATATGAGTAAGAAATCAGCATCAAACAGAGAGACGCTTGGGAAAAGCGTGGACAGCAGGTTCGGAAGTGGAGTTCATTCCCCCGAGTGAAGATCTGACACAGGGGACGTGGGCCCAACTTCTGACACGGCTCTTCTGGGCAAAGGCTTGATGTGTGGAACCAATAAAAAGGAGTGACAGGGTACCAGAAAGACCTTCTAAGAAACACGACTTCCTTAAAATAACTTCTGTTGTCCTATGAAATAGGAGATGCACCCCTGCTCACTGCAAATGGGGGCCCAGAGAGGCAGGACCTCTGTCCTGGAAAGTGGGAATAGAGTGTCTGCATGTCTAAAGGAAAATTAGAGCACATGGTCTTGGCAGGCAAGCAAGGGTCCAACAAATACTTATCAGGGTTCTATTATATGCCACATACTATGCAAGTCCCCTCTCACCCTGAGTCACAGACCCTCAGCCTGACTTACCCGAGGACATTGATGCATAGCCAAAGCATCAAAGAGTCTAAGAGAAATCAAACTATATCTGGTAAGCCATCCTGCCAAACGCAATCCAACCTGTATTTATCACGCTTACCCATGCCTGGGACACACGCCTTAAAAACCCAGGCTCTACAGTCTAATGAACCAAACTCCTGTTCCTTTTTGGGTTGAAAATATTAACACACCCAATAAGATCAAAGCAGACTGCATTCACTTATTGGTTTAAGAGAGAAGGTAAAAACGTATATTAGAATCACAAAATATTAGAGCTGGAAAGGCTTCCAAAATCATCTGGTTCACTAAACTCATAAGCTGGACTGGGATCGGGAATGCTGTAAATAAGAATTCTGGTTGCTTTTTAATTTGGAAGGGCAATAAGAAAAGAAAATGGAAGGTGAATGGTAGGTACACAGTTTGTTTTGTATGGTCCAGGCTCAGTAAATATTTATTTACATTATAAATAAATACTAATAAATATTTACTGAGCATGTAAAAATATTCTTCACTTTAAATAATTTAAAATTTAAAACCAATTTAATTTAATTTAAAATTTAAAACCAAACTTCCATCTTACTAACAGTGCTGGATTCTAAGGAAAGCCCACTTTTTTGTTTTGTTTTGTTTTAATGACATCAAGTATGAGAAGAAGAGAAAGTAATAAAAGGGTGATGAAAGTAGTTGATGGAACTGGTAAACAGAATAGCGAGAGAGAAGCCATTCGGAGATGGGTGGGGTGGTGAGTAAGGAGAATAAGCAAGGCCTTCTCTAAGGCACCTGGGAGGCCCTGGGGGTAGGGCTGGAATGCCTTTTTAAAGCTGGCACATCTGGGGACTCGCCAGGATGAAGGGCTTTGCTTTTATAATATGAATATCCAGCTTATTGGATGGGTTCCGTCAGATCAATTATATTCTTTTAGGATTCCCTTAGCTGGATGATCATTCATTCAACAAATTCTTCTTGGGGTTTGCCCTGCTCTGGGCTACGCCAGAGGTTCACGGAAACAAATGAGACACGGTCCTCATCCTGGAGGTATTCCTATCTAGTTGGCAGAGATACGCCTTGGAACCACTCGAGGACACAAAATTTATCCAAGAGCTTAGAGGGCAGCATGGGGACGGGTGACATGGCTTCATAAACTGTGGTGGGAACATAAAGCAGACCCTCCCAGAAAGGGTACTGTGCTTCTGACAGGACACATCAAACTTAGGCCAGGCTCCTGCAAAGACAGGGTTCCCGCGGAGCTGAGCGTGAAGAGGGAAAGTGTCAGTCACTCAGTGTCCGAGTCCCTGTGACCCCGGGGACTGTAGCCGCCAGGCTTCTCTGTCCATGGACTTCCCCAGGCAAGAACACTGAAGTGGGTAGCCATTCCCTTCTAAAGGGGATCTTCCCAACCCAGGGGTCAGACCCGGATCTCCTGAATTGCAGGCAGATTGTTCACCATCTGACTCACCAGGGAGTTAGCATCCAAACAATCCTGCATCTATTTTGTTAGTTCTCATGGGAGGTACTTGGAAAGGGAAAAGCATGAACACCATCTTCTTGCTTCAGTGTGAAGAGGGAGGGAGTCCTGAATATCCCCAAGGGGGTTAAATCAGTAAAGAGGTGCAATTAGAAGTTAAACCAAATGACTTGGAAATACTGCCAAGGTCAGTGACCTACTAGCAGGCAGCGTGAGTGAATGAGGAGGAAATGACATCTGAGCTGGGCCTTGGGGATGATCCTGTTGGCAAGGCAGAGGAAGGGGCATCTGTGGTCCCAGCAGCCCAGCAGAGCCTGAGCAAAGAGGCAAAAAGCAGGGTATGCTGGTGAACATGAGGGTGACTCCATAGGACTGGTACATAAAGTATGCTGGGGGGGTGGTGGGTAAGAGTGGCAGGAGAGATTTTTTAAAATAGACGTGTGCTTAGTCGTCTCCCACTCTTTGGGAGCCCGTGGACTGTGGCCCTCCAGGCTCCTCTGTCCATGGGGATTCTCCAGGCAAGAATACTGGAGTGGGTTGCCATGCCCTCTTCTAGGGGATCTTCCCAAACCAGGGATGGAACCCAGGTCTGCCTCATTGCAGGTGGATTCTTTACCATCTGAGCCATCAGGGAAGCCTCAATAAAAATAGATTTATTGAGGTATAATTTACACAGTATATAATCACCCACTATATGTGTATAATTAATGAATTTTATTGAATTTATAAAATAGTGAATTCATCACCCAAATCCAGTTTTAGAACATTCCTGTCATTGCAAAAAGTCCTCTGGTGCCCGTCTGCAGTCTTTTGGTCATGCTTAGGTCCATTCACGTTGCATCAGGTACCAGTTGGTCCATCCCTTTTGATTACTATGTATGATTACCCATTGAATAAATATAACACTTAAAAAAAAATCAGTATCAGTGGTAGACATTTTGATTGCTTCTGTTTTGGGCTTATGATGCACAGTGCTGCTATGAACATTCACCTAGGATTCTTTGTGTGGATGTTTTCATTTTTCTTGAATTAGGGTGCCAGATTTAGCAAGTAAAGGCAGATGACCGAAAGTGTGAGTTAAGTCCATTTCATCTGCCTTCTCTAATCAAGGTCATTTAAAGACGGGCATGTTTTCCACGTGGCAAGTAGTCCAAAAATGAGATGTTTGCCCGAGTTATTTTCTAGGAGCTTGTAGTCAGCAGCGTCCGGTTAAAGCTAAGCCCGTTTAAATTTACTGAAGAAGCCAGCCTTTCCACTGAGCATGAGCGAGCATGACGTTTTGGCCACGCAGAGGCTGACGTCATCACGCCCGCCTGCACCGAACGCACCACGGCTCCCGGGCCTCAGCCCCACGGCGGTTTCTTCCTCAGCCCCACGGCGGTTTCTTCGTCGGTGCCACCTCCGGTTTCTTCCTCAGCCCCACGGCGGTTTCTTCCTCAGCCCCACGGCGGTTTCTTCGTCGGTGCCACCTCCGGTTTCTTCCTCAGCCCCACGGCGGTTTCTTCCTCAGCCCCACGGCGGTTTCTTCCTCAGCCCCACGGCGGTTTCTTCGTCGGTGCCACCTCCGGCTTCTTCCTCAGCCCCACGGCGGTTTCTTCCTCGGTGCCACCTCCGGCTTCTTCCTCAGCCCCACGGCGGTTTCTTCGTCGGTGCCACCTCCGGCTTCTTCCTCAGCCCCACGGCGGTTTCTTCGTCGGTGCCACCTCCGGCTTCTTCCTCAGCCCCACGGCGGTTTCTTCCTCGGTGCCACCTCCGGCTTCTTCCTCAGCCCCACGGCGGTTTCTTCGTCGGTGCCACCTCCGGTTTCCCAGCCTCTTGCCTTTGGGAGGGCAGACGTGAGATTTGTCGTCTGACCTCCTTGCTCGGCTGCCTGCGAAGTAAGCCCTCTCTGCTCGCGGCAGGCCTCGGCGTCTCGGGATTTGGGTTGGTTTCCTGCGTGTCCGGCCAGATGCGCCAGCCCGGAGGTACGTCGAAACGGAGCTTTGGCGCGCGGTTCGTCGGCCCCTCGCGGGGCCTGAGCGCCTGTGCGCGAGCCCAGGCCGCGGCCCGGCCCGCTGGTGCCGGGGACTGTCCTCGGGAATCCCAGGTGAGGTGCCGCTGGCCTTCGGCGCCCAGGTTTTGTTTTGCAGCGACAGGATGGTTTTCGGGGGTTGGCTGTGGAAGATGTGTTTCGGGTGAGTAGCCCCTCGGTGAAGAGGCCCCCTGTGCACGGGTGTTTCGTGTGATCTTGACCGAATCGTGGTTGGCGGCCTACCCGGCGGGATGTGGGCAGTCAGTGCGGAAGGTTGCGGCTGCTGACCGAGGTACCTGAATTAAAGGCCCAGGACTGCGTTTCTTTCTTGTTTGTTTGGGTGTTTTGGTTTTTTTTTTTTTTTTTTTTCGGTCTGTTTGTTCTGCTCTTGTTTGCCCATGTCTGTCTAGGTCGGTCTGAGTTAATTGTTAAGAATTGGCTAGGGACTGAGCTTCTCGGTGCCCAAGAAGCACCAAGTGGAGAGGACCTGTAGAGAGATTTCGCTGCTATAACCACCTGGGAGCAGAGCCCCTTCCTAATGGAAAATGTTGATTCAGTTCCTCTCACAGCCCTCTGACCTGCATTCTTTGGAGTTAGGTAACCCTGGGTTATGAATCCCTGGAAGAGAAAGAAAGAGATGGTATTTTTTGTAACACTGTATATAACCACAATATCCTTTAGACTCCAGAGCAAAATGGCCTGAAAATGGATTCATAAATTACAATAAAATCTCACAACTTGATTTATTTTGTAAATGGGAAGGAAAATGAGATAAAATATCTTTCATACAGTCTTAGGTTATTGTGTCAGAATAAACCTGTGCAAAGACAATGAAAGATTATGGCCCAACAGGAAGGGCAGGAAAAGAAACCTGTTATTTCACTTGATTCTAAAGAGAAGGAGGAGGGCATGCTGTTAATTCTCATACTTGGAGGTCTCCCTCCCCGGCCCCACACGCTGGTGCTGCTGCCGCCTCAGACTCCCCCCCAATCCCTCTCTAGTCCCTGCTGGTGTCTGTGGGTAGAGAAATAGGAAGTAGGACTGGTCTTCCCCTCTCATACCTGCCAGGGTACTCCATTTGGCCAGGAAGCTACTCAAACTCAAGTGGGGCAAAATCCCTTAAGGCAAGTCTCCGATGAGGGATGTGAGTGCTGAAACCGGGCACCTGATGGGGTTGATCTTGGTCCTTCTCCTTTTTCAGCTTCAAATTTATTTAATTGGAAGAACAATATGCTAACTTAGAGAGATGACCCAAAGAGTTGGAAATTTTTTTTCATTAATTTTTTGCAACCTATTACCCAACCTAGGCCGATGTTCAAAATTTGTTAACCACCTTCCTCACTTCAGGACACAGAAGTTGCTGGATAAAGCCCTGGAGGAGGCAAATGGGCTTCATTCAGAAGCCCCTGGTAGCTTGATACAGGCTGCTACAAGCACAGCTGCACCCACAGTGGGTCCTGTTTGGGATGTGATGCTGAGGACAGGCCCAAACTAGGACGTTATCAAGCCTGCATTGTTGCATGGTTGTGAAGAGGCGGCCAAAACAAAGACGCCTTAATAAAGCCCAGGAGGGAATACAGAAACCAAATGAAGATCATTCAGAATTTCTGTTAAGCCTATAGGCATATACAGATGCAGTCCCTGAGGTGCCAGAGAATTTGAAGATGGTTAATATGACTTTTATTGGTCAGAACATCCCTGTCAGGAAAGTGCAAAAGGTGGAAGGGGCTTTAGGAATGCATATGTCTCAACCTGTTGAATTTACCTTCAGAAATTGTAACAGCAGGGACCAGGTTCCCCTCTCCACATCCTTTCCAACATTTGCTATTTGCAGACATTTTGATGATAACCATTCTGACAAATCCATGGTGTATCTTTCCATTTATTTGAATCATCTTCAGTTTCCTCTATCAATGTTTTATAATTTTCATAGTATGCATCTTTCACCTCTTTAGTTTATTTGTTTTTTTTTTTAAACAGGATTGTTTTACTTTCTCCTATTATTAGTGTATGGGTATGCAACAAATTTCTGTTTATTAACCATATATCCTGAAACCTTGCTGAATTCATTTATCCTAATAGTTTTGGTAGAGACTTTAAGGATCTTTATGTAAAGTATTATGTCATCTGCAAAGTTGTGACAGTTTTACCTCTTCCCTTGCTGTCTGAGTGTGTATTTTTGTTTTTTCTCATCTGATTGCTATGGCTAGGACTTCCAATACTATGTTAAGTAGAAGTAATGAGCCCTGTTTGGGATGTGAGTGAGTCCTGTTTGAGAGGAAGGTGGGAGAAGGGGTTCAGGATGGGGGAATACATGTATACCTACAACCAGTTCATGTTGATGTATGGCAAAAAAGCATCACAATATTGTAAATAAATATTAAAGTAAATTTATCTTAAGAATAAATTAATTAACTTTTTAAAAATGTAAATGCACACACACATAAAAGAAGTAGTGAGTGGACATCTTTTCCTGTTCCTGAATGTAGTGCGAAGGCTTTTACTTTTCACTGTTGAGTATTATATTGATGTGGATTTGTTATAAACTGTTTATTATGGTGAAGCCCCCTCTATACCCACTTTGAGAATTTTTATCATGAATGGATGTTGAATTTTGTCAAATGCTTTTTCTGCATCTATTGAGATGATCGTATGATTTTTATTCTTTTGTTTATGTGGTATAAAATTGATATTTTTGTTGTGATTGTTGAACCATCCTTGTGACCCTGAAATAAATCCAACTTGATCGTGGTGAACGATTCTTTCTATGTATTGTTGGAGTCAGTTTGCTAATTTTTTGAGGATTTTTTGCATCTATATTCATCAAGGATACTGACCTGTAATTTTTTTGTACTGTGTTTGGTTTGGGTATCAGGATACAGGTTTCCTTATATAATGATTTAGGAAGTATTCTCTCCTCCTCAGTTTTTTTTGGAATAGTTTGAGAAGGATAGATGTAAGTTCTCCATATGTTTGGTAGAATTCCCCAGTGAAGCAGTCCAGTCCTGGACTTTTGTTTGTAGGGAGCTTTGCGTTGTTTTATTATTACCATTATTATGGATTCTGTTTCACTTCCAGTGATTATTAGTCTGTTCAAATTATCTGTTTCTTCTTGGCTCAGTCTTGGCAGGCTGTTCGTTTCTAGAAATTTGTCCATTTCTTCTGGGTCATCCATTTTGTTGGCGTGTAACTGTTCATAATATTTACTTAATGATTTTTTAAAATTTCTTTGGCATTTATATTTCTCCTCTTTATTATTTTATGTGAGTCTTCTCTCCTTGGTGAGTCTAGCAAAAGGTTTATCAATTTTGTTTCTTTTAAAAAAACTTTAGCTCTTGAAACTCGTTCTTAGGTATTTTTTAATCTCATTTTATTTTCTCTCTGATTTTTCCTTCTACTGACTTTGGCCTTTGTTCCCTTTCTAGTTCTTTTAGGTGGAAATTTAGGCAGTTTGAGGATTTTTTTGTTTCTTGAGAAAGATGTATACCACTATGTTCCTTCTCAGAATTGCATTTGCTGCATCCCATAGATTTTGAAAAGTTGTGTTTTCGTTTTCATCTTAAGATGTTTTCTGATTTCCTCTTTGATTTTATTGTTGAACCATTGGGGGTTTTCTTAGCAGCATGTTGGTTACTCTCCACATGTTTGTTCTTTTCTTATCTTTCAGTTGATTTCTAGTTTCTTGCCATTGTGATTGGAAAAGATGCTTGATATGATTACTTCCCTCTTAAATTTGTTGAGGTTTGTTTTGTGACCTCGTGTATGATTGATCCTGGAGAATGTTTTATGCACTCTGAAAGAATATGGTTTCTTTTTTTTAGATATGGTATCCTGTAGGTATCAATTAAGTCCAGTTGGTCTATTATGTCGTTTAGAATCTCTGTTGCCTTATTGCTTTTTATCTGGTGGTCTGTCCATTGATGTCAGTGAGATGTTAAAGTCTCCTACTATTACTGTATTCATTTCTCCCTTTATGTCTGTTAGTATTTGTTTTACATATTTAGGTTCTCCTGTATTGATTGCATGTATATTAACAAGTTTAATATCCTCTTCTTGTATTAATCCCTTTATCATTATACAATGCCCTTTGTCTTTTCTGTAGCCTTTATTTTAAAGTCTATTTGGTCTGATATGAATATTGTTATCTCAGTTTTCTTACTGTTTCCATTTGCCTGGATATCTTTTTCCATTGTCTCACTTTTAACCTGTGTATATCTTCCACCCTGAATTGAGTCTCTTGTAGACAGCATATTGATGGGTCTTTTTTTTAAATCCAATCCTGTCTTTTGATTGAGCATTTAGTCAATTGGCACTTGAATTATAGGTATATACTTATTGCCATTTTATTCCTTGTTTTCCAATTGTTCTGTTGTCCTTTTTTATTTTTCCCCATTGTGTTTTGATTGTCTTTTGTAATATGTTTGAGTTCTTTTCTTTTTAGTTTTTGTGTATCTCTTGTAGGTTTTAGATTTTGTAGTCAACATGGGATTCGTGTATTTTGACCCATAATTATATCTGTCTGCATCAAACTGATAAGTCATTTAAGTTCAGACACATTCTAAAAGATCTACATTTTTAACTTCCCTCACCAACATTGTCTTCAGTGGCATATTTTACATCTTCACATTTACTCTTTTGTGTTTATTGTGGTCATAGTTGCTTTTTCAGTTTTTTTGTTTGTTTTTCGATCAGTATACTAGCTATTTAAGTGATCTTCAATCCCTACTACATATTGACCTTTTTTACTGGGATTTTTCCTTTTCTGAAGGTTCTTGCTTCTCCATTTAGAGAATATCCTTCAAGATTTCTTTTAGGGTATGTTTCAGTCGCTCAGTTGTGTCCGACTCTTTGTGACCCCATGGACTGCAGCATGCCAGGCCTCCCTGTCCATCACCAACTCCCAAAGCTTACTTAAACTCATGTCCATAGAGTCGGTGATGCCATCTCATCCTCTGTTGTCCCCTTCTCTTCCCGCCTTCAATCTTTCCCAGCATCAGGGTCTTTTCCAATGAGTCAGTTCTTCATATCAGGTGGCCAAAGTATTGGAGCTTCAGCATCAGTCCTTCCAATGAATATTCAGGACTGATTTCCTTTAGTATGGATTGGTTGGCTCTCCTTGCAGTCCAAGGGACTCTCAAGAGTCTTCTCTAACACCACAGTTCAAAAGCATCAATTCTTCGGCACTCAGCTTTCTTTATAGTCCAACTCTTACATCCATATGTGAAAAATAGCTTTGACTAGGTGGACATTTGTTGAAAAAGTTTTGTCTCTGCATTTTAATATGCTGTCTAGGTTGGTCATAGGTTTTCTTCCACAGAGAAAGCATCTTTTAATTTCATGACTGCAGTCACCATCTGCAGTGATTTTGGAGCCCCCCAAAATAAAGTCTCTCACTGTTTCCATTGTTTCCCCATCTGTTTGCCATGAAGTGATGGGACCAGACACCATGATCTTAGTTTTATGAATGTTGTTTTAAGCCAACTTTTTCACTCT